GACTCCGCCTGGAGGGGAGCCACCCGCGGGAGCCTCCTCGCCTAGGCCCCGCGCCGCTGGTGGGCCGAGAAGCGGAAACTCCCCCTTGATTGATGGCCGGGGGAGGGGTTGAATGGGGCACGTGGCCTGGCCCAAACCTTTCTATAGCCCCCCCATTTGGGGGAAGAACTTGGGGTGTATTTGTTCTAATTGTGCTTAGATTCTCTGAGACCTCAAGTTGGTTTATGTGGGGGGGATAAAGCTCTCCTCTCCTCTCTACTTTTTATAACCACAGCCCTGTAAGGTAGGTCGTTTGGGCTTGGCCCAAAGTCACTCAACGATGTGCAGGGGGCTTTCGGGGGTCCCCATCCCGGATCTCACCTCCTTGTCAAAATGGAGCTGGGGGGTGTTCCTACCTCCTTGGTGTGGGGGAACCTTGCATGGGTGGTACTGCGGCAACATGGAAGGCCGCTGGAGATAGATCATTGTTTGCGTGCCTCCCCACCGTTCTGCTTGTGTCTTTCCCGTGGATTCCTTGTAATTACGGTTAAATCATGGTGCATGCCATTAATTTAATGGAGTCATGGCGAGGTTCTCATAGGAGATGAGAGGGCTTGGCTTCTCCTCATCACCCCAGCCCGACAACCGAGTTTGGTGTCTGGGTACTAGAGACAGGGCTGTCGGATGAAAATCAGGGAGTGGCCCCATTTTCTCCTTCGGGGCTGTAAGAATTCTAATTTCCGTGCCCCTCTAAGGAGGTGCAGTATGAAATGAAAAAGTACGACATCAAGAAATTAGGGGATGAACACCCTGCAATCCAGGTTAAAATACAGAGCCTCATCTTGGGGTATCATATCTGTCTTTATTCTACCTGAAGGCTGGCCATATTGACCATTAACAAACAAAAAGTCCCAACCAGCGTACATCCATCTGATTTTTCAGAACAGCAGTGGGTAAAACTTTAAGAAAGGGCCACACTTCATGTACGATATGAATGTTTTCATGTGGCATTAATGTGATAGTAAAATATGACTTTCAGAAATAAGGCATGGCTACTGCTGTGTAGTACAACAATACATTTCTGGTAGCTTTGGAGCGATGACTGTGTAATTACATGTAGGGAAAGCATAAGGTTTTTCAGTTGTGTAAAATCCTTTGCCTCTGAAAGCAAGCACTCCTTTTTGTTTCTGTAGTTCAGTGGTGCTGTTTCGGGAGCATGCCAGGTGGCCTATTTCAGTTCTAACAGTTTTATTAAAGCAGACATATTGTTTAGACAAGTGAGTCTCGTGACGGCAAAGTTTACAAATGTATTGTGGCAAACCTTAACTTTTCTGGTCCAGCTTGGCCTGGTGCGTCTGATTTTCAAAGCAATCCGCTGGGCGTCACTATACATTTGAACAAGTCGTGTTGCTTTACAACAGTGTAACACCATACACTAAAAACATGATTGAACATAATCTATAATAAATCTACTTGTTTATTCACTTTATCTAGCTGTTCCACTCCTTTGAATTCTCAAAGGAGGCTTATCATATAAATTGAAGAAAGTATTTCTCCAAAAAACTGCTCTCCTTGTCTGCCACTTACATCTACCACTCCAGATCCTGTATTAATAGGAACACTCCCACACTATGCACCATAAATAAAATTAAAGTATTCTGTTTTGAAGGAAGGACATTGATTTTTTAGCGTGCATAATACCAGTAAGAAGCCCTGTTTTGTGATTAGAAAGATGAAGAAGACTTTCTTGTGTGTGTTTTTAGTGGTTTTTTTGAATGTAGAGAAGCAAGACTATATTTTTTTAAGCTCACCAACTCTGAATCTTCTTATGTTTACTTGATATATAAATTGTGGTGAATTAAGTCAGATATAATCCAACATAAAATTGGGATTTTTTTAATATCTGCACTATAGAATATGATTTTTTTTTTACTGGAAATCATTTCTACATTGGTGTATATATGTACCATGCTAATGCTGTTTAACTGAAGGAATAATATGCAACAGCACACACTTTGGATTTTATAGCACTATTCTGAATATTCACAGTTTGGAACATAATGAACTTTACAGCAGTTTTCAATGGTTTTTATTGCAGATGAGAGAGTTTTCTGTCTATTTTTTTAGTCTAAGTTTACATGAGTCATACATTTTTATGTCAGTTTATTTAAATTATATTACTTTTAAATTTAAAAATATACTAGCATAAGATATGTGACCAACCCCACCTCAACTAAAATCCATTTACTTTTTGCTTTTGTCTTCAGAATGTCTGGTCAGAAAAGGAGTATTTTAAATTAGAGCTGAGTCTGGTTTTAGTAGCTGCTCTTCCATGAACTTTCCAGAGTCTGGATGCTACATTAGAGAAGGCACTTGGTTTGTAGTTGTATGATGGACTTCTTCAGTGCAAGTAAAGAGAGAGCCTATCTCTGTGATCCACTCTATGAATGTTCGTGCCCAAGTAGAATAGTAGTTAGCATTCACAATATAATCACTATATTTATCCAGTTTCTTTGTTGCAAGCAGAGTACTTCACTAGTCCTAGTCCAGTAAGAAAACTTAAGTTTGTCATGGAAGTATTGGAGTGTAGCACATCCCAGTTCTACTGGAGTTGAAGTCTGTCATGCTATCATAGTTATGTCTGCTTGGAGTCCCTTGGAAAAAGTACTCTGTAATCTAGGGTAGCTGTTTGCAGAATGGTTTCCAGTTTAATTTGCTTGAGGGCCAGTTTTGGGATAGCTGGTATACCACCTGCTGTTTGAATCTCTGATTTTAGGACCTTGTTAATGGAAGGAGAGGGACGTAGTTCAGAGTTGGGCGTAGACTTTGCTTATAGAAAACCCTGGGTATAATGATTGGCATTTTATCCTGAGAGCTGCTGTCAGACCATGTAGGTTATAGGCCAAGGCTGGTATAAGACAGCTTTGTATGTTCACATTTCATTGTTCTTTTAGGCCAGTTCTGTGTTTCAGATTATTTTCTTTAGGCAAAGCCAATAATATTTGAGAAGCAGTTGCAAGCCAGTAGGCCTGCTTAAAAATATAGTAGGCAGATGACAGTTATGGAAGCTGTACTTATATATGAAATGAAAGCACCTCTCCAAACTCATACTCTATATGTCCCCATAATTTTACCAAAGATGGGTCAGCTATAATCCATTGCTAACTTAGAACTAAGAACTTAAAGAAAAATGAAAATTTCTTTTTTGTGTAGATCTGCTGCTTTTTAATTACATGTCGATAGAAGAAATACTACTCTGAAGATTGGGTAATTGAAATGTACTTCATAATCAGAGCAACTGACAGTTGACTGCTTTTCTTTGCAGGTTGAAAGAAGTAAAGGAGACCTACGGCAGCCAGTGAAGAGGCTCTTAACTTGGACATCAGCTATTTAAGCTGAATGCATTGTGATTTCCAGTAATTGAGACAGTGATTCTGAAAGCTGTCCACATTAATGAAAAGAACAATGTAGTCAGCTTAACTGAATCATCAGTGTTGCCTATTGAATAAAGCATGACAGATCCTATCTTGGTGGACTTCTGCATGTGAGGAACGTAGATTTCTATACCCTTTTGTTTAAAACTTTGTGGGTTTTTTTATTTTTTTTCCTTTTGGTAAGTTTTAGCTATGGAGAATTACGAAAATACACCTCCCCTTCCAAAAGAGCCAGCAACCGAAGTGAATATGGAGAACCCTTCTTGTCCCCCACCACTGCCGCCCAATGAACAGCCTCCACCACCTCCCCTGCAAACGTCCAGTGACGCAGAGGTAATGGACGTTGGCTCTGGTGGTGATGGACAGTCAGATACCCCTGCTGGGGACACCCACGCTGTCAACAGAATACAGCTGCTCACAAAGGGATCTTCATGCTACCAAAGTCGTCTTATCATAGATCCTAACAGTGACCAAAGCCCAAGAACTGCTCGACATGCACCTTCAGTTAGGAAATTCACTCCCGATCTTAAGTTGCTTAAAGATGTAAAGATTAGTGTTAATTTTACAGAGAGCTGCAAGAGTAAAGACAGAAAAGTTCTGTACACTGGAGCTGAGCAAGATTATGAGGCAGATTCAGATTTAGGTATTCACGGTGTCAATGGGGATATGCATGCTTGTCCTCTTGGTGGGAGTAGTGGCAGCCAAGCAGCTCATGTAGCTGGTGAAAACAATGACAAAAAGGATGATGACAATGATGTAGATCAGGAAAAGCGAGTGGAATATGCAGTTTTGGATGATTTAGAAGATTTTACTGACAATTTGATGGAAATAGATGAAGAAGGAGGGTTTACATCTAAAGCGATCGTTCAGCAGGACAAAGTGGATGAAGAAACCTTGAACTATTCTTATGAGGTAACTACATTTTGTTTCCAGAATTTGGGTTTTGGGAGGAAGGTATGAATATATAGCATTTCTGTAGCATTTATGTTAACTGGGGGAAAAAAAACTGGAAAGAAATCTCGCTGGAACAAATTTTGGGCTTGGGGGCTGCTTAATCATATCAGTCCTCGTTTAGCAACTGCCTTGTTTAGCAACTGTTCGCAGTTACAACAATGAGGAAAAAGTAACTTTGCAACCAATCCTTGCATTTACAACCTTCACAGGTCTGTAAAGCAAAGGAAAGCTGAAGTAAGATTGTAAGCACAGTTGTGGTTTCACTTAGTGGCCCTTTTGCTTAATGACTGAGTTGCCATTCCCAATTGTGGGGGCTTGGGGGCTGCTTAATCATATCAGTCCTCGTTTAGCAACTGCCTTGTTTAGCAACTGTTCGCAGTTACAACAATGAGGAAAAAGTAACTTTGCAACCAATCCTTGCATTTACAACCTTCACAGGTCTGTAAAGCAAAGGAAAGCTGAAGTAAGATTGTAAGCACAGTTGTGGTTTCACTTAGTGGCCATTTTGCTTAATGACTGAGTTGCCATTCCCAATTGTGGTTGCTAAATGAGGACTGCCTCTACTGCTGAGTTATGTTACATCAAAATACTTGCTGTGGCTTCTGAATATTACTGAATCTTCCTGAATATTACAGAGCTGCTAAGTTACTTACCACTGCTTGAAACCTGCCACCTTGATATAAGCTGAGTTACAAAAACCTCAGGCAATTTGTAGATTTCTGTAGCAATACCTGCCTTGTCAGGGAATGAGGAAAATAGCTATAGGGTGTGGTATCTGATAGCATGTTTTTCAGGATGAATTTGATAATGATGTGGATGCTCTGCTGGAAGAGGGCCTTTGTGTTCCCAAAAAAAGGAGGATGGATGAGAAATATGGAGGGGAGAGTGACCATCAGTCTGATGGAGAAACGACTGTGCAGCCAATGATGACCAAAATAAAAACTGTTCTTAAAAGTAAGCTCTTGCAACCAATAATATACCTAGTTGCCATTAACCATCTCAGTTTCCATAAGATGCTGGCTCTATTCCTGTTCTCCTCCCCATGTCATATCTGCCCAGAACGGCTGCATTTTGGCCTGTTCCCAGAAAAACATAGCCCAGTTTTGTTCTGAGTATGAGCAAAGCCATCTGATTCATGCAGCTTTCATTTTACATACAGAACAGTTGGCCCATGGAGGATTTTGCACACCCTTGCTGTCTTAGCCTTTTTCCTTAGAAAAAAGGAAGTGTTGATACATTTCAGCTTGAATGACAAGGGGGGGGGGGTTCTTCAGAAACCATTTGAAGAATGTCAAGCTTCTTGATAATTTGACTGTTAACTAGGGAGGCAGGAGGTACTGCAGTTTCAAAATAACAGTTGAAGAGTTTGTGCACTAAGCCATGTCTCGGTGTGTTTCTCTTTCAAAGGTCGTGGTCGCCCTCCTACAGAGCCTTTGCCTGATGGATGGATCATGACATTCCACAACTCGGGCATCCCTGTGTACCTGCACAGAGAATCTCGGGTGGTCACCTGGTCCAGACCTTATTTCTTGGGAACAGGAAGCATCAGGGTATGAGCTGGATTTCATTCTTTTACAAATGTTGGTAGAAATTAAACATTCTGCAATTATTAGAGCAGTTGCTGACCGTCACTGAATTTGATTCTATAAAATCTGATTTCATTTTATTTAAGAGATGACGTATTATGACTGTTGTGCATTGGTGAACCAAGCTAATCATGAAGCTGTCAGCATCATTCAGAATAATAAGGAAAAATATTGCCTTCCTGCCTTTTGAGTAAAAAAAAAAAAATCTATTTTGGATTGTTCTTGTATTCCAAAATAATATCTAAGTTCTATTGGTTGTTTGACACTAAATGCTTAACTCATTAGTAAGTTAGATTATCAATATTTTCTTGCTTATTGATTGAGCATCTTTCCTGGGAAGAAAACTTAAGCATAATCCATCACTGATTTATAGAGTTCTCTACCGCAAGATGCAGTGAGGACTGCTAGCTGAAATAAAATCAAAGAGTGTAAAATGCTGTTTAAAACTAGTTCTCGGATAGGTTGCTGCTATTCTAGGCTTCTTGGAGGCATCTGGCTACAATGGCAAGTAAGATGATGAAGCAGATGGAGGCATCGCTCTCTACTTCTTTTATGGATGAACATTATTTACAGATGAAAGCAGGGGAGTTTTGAGCACCATATGTACAGTAATATATGGTGGATGGCACATATTGTGCTTCAACATATTACTGAAAATATATTGAGAGGACATGAAGCAATTATGATTGCTTTATATTTTGGTACTTTCAAGGTGCACTTTTTAAATTCACTGCTTTCTCACAAAATTTTCCTTCTGATAGTACAGAAAATACATACCTAACAATGGTGTAAGTTACTAGAGAGCCAGGTGTTTTTATAATGAACGTATAGAAACCACTTGTAGAAAACATGTTGCATTTTACTTCCCAGTTTATTTAGAACAGAAAAACAGTTCTCAGAAGTCTGAAACATTGCTAGTAAAGGGTAGAGCAGTATATCTGATCATAATTAATGGAGTTTTGTTGGTTTTGTAGCCTTGGCTCTCATCTTTTAACTTGCAAACTGTGTTGCAGAAACATGACCCTCCTTTGAGTAGCATTCCTTGTTTGCATTATAAAAAAATGAAGGAAAATGAGGAAAGGGAACAAAACAATGACATAACCCCAAATGGGGAAGTTTCACCTGTAAAGCTCACGGAGAAATCCCTGGAACTGGATTGTCAAACGGAGGAGCCGGACTCCACTGCAGCTGATTCTGGAATTTCAGATGAGAGAGATCCATCTGGGGGAGATGCAGCCCAGGGAGCCTTGGGACAGGTGAAGGCCAAAGTTGAAGTGTGCAAAGATGAGTCAGTAGGTGAGTCCTGTAAATTGGAATTTTAAGGCACAGAGGACCTGTAATTTACCTTTTCCAGGTGCCTTTTTGGAGCCTGGGTCAGATACAGTGGTACCTCGGGATACGAACGCCTCTACTAACGAACATTTCGGGTTACGACCAGCTTCGGCAGGAAAAATTACCTCGGGTTATGACCAACTCGGGTTACGTCCAGAGTCATGGAACGGATTAAGTTCGTATCCCGAGGTACCACTGTATCTGACCCAGGCTCCAAAAAGGCACCTGGAAAAGGTAAATTACAGGTCCTCTGTGGATACGAACGCCTCTACTAACGAACATTTCGGGTTACGACCAGCTTCGGCAGGAAAAATTACCTCGGGTTATGACCAACTCGGGTTACGTCCAGAGTCATGGAACGGATTAAGTTCGTATCCCGAGGTACCACTGTACTGACAATTCAAGTTGCACATCGTCGGCGTCTCTCCTTCATTCATCCAGAGATGCTGCTTCTGCCACCGCTGCTAACTTGCTTGCGTACTTTGTGTCATTTTAATGTACATTACTTAGCAGAACTTGCTTTTGTTCGACTGTGCTTGTTTGCAGCTCTGATGGAAAGGGAACGTTAACAGGGGAGCAGAAATCTTTTTCAGATATTTCCTCTACATATATTGCAGAATCATAGAAATAGAGCTCTTTTAAAATATGCTACAATGTTCAATTCTGTGGTTTCTGTCAACCAAACTATAGCGGGCAGAATCCTTTGAGTCTCATGTCTTTGACCAGGCTACTTCTATATTTGGGTTCGCACTGTTGCCGTCTTGGTTGGAAGGAGCACGGAATGATTACAGTTGCTTTGTTTTCTTAGATATTGAGGATTTCCGACACTACCTGGAAAAACGTTTTGATTTCGAGCAAGTAACTGTGAAGAAGTTCCGAACGTGGGCTGAGAGACGGCAGTTCAACCGCGAGATGAAGAGGAAGCAGGCAGAATCTGAGCGGCCTATTTTGCCAGCCAATCAGAAGCTTATTACATTGTCTGTCCAAGATGCACCCACAAAGAAAGGTAGGCTTGTTGTAAGAATGTAATTTATGGACTTTTTGCATAAAAATGAAGAGAAATTGTGTTTTATGGGTTTGATAATTAGACAGGAAAGATTATGGAAAGAAGAATGTCATGCTGTAACTTTAGAGAGGTTAAAATATAATTGTACTTACAAGTGCTGTGAGGAATATTGGAAGCCACTGCTTTATATTCCTTTCCTTTCCCTTTTTCTTTTCTTTTCCTTTCTCTTTAATTTTTTTTACCTTTCTTGCACTTTTTGCTTTCTCTTTGCTTTCTTTCTTTTTCTCTTCTCTTTATATTAGTTTGTATTTTTATCTTTTTTAAAGTTTTAATATTTCTTATACAGGTAAAAAAAGAATTTAATTAATTTAAGGCCGTGAGAATTAACCAAAGTTCTATGCAGAACTGTTTTTATTTCTTTGTTTTTTTCCCTCCTCTCCAATGCAGAATTTTGAGTTTCAGTACTGAGTGTTCTTAATCCTGGAAAATGCAAATTTTATTGTTGACTCATTGTTAGGATAATATATTTAGATCAGTGTTTCTCAACCTTGACAACCCTAAGAAGTGTGGACTTGAACTCTCAGGATTCCCCAGCAAGCCTGGCTGGCTGGGGAATCCTGGGAGTTGAAGTCCACGCTTCTTAAAGTTGCCAAGGTTGAGAAACACTGGTTTAGATACTGGGATTGGTATCGCTCAAGGAGTTCCATTTATCCTGCGGGACTTCTTAATGAAAGCAAGAGACTGCTCTACTATATTGTAGACTGCTTTTGGCAGGCTCTTGCCAAATCTGTTTTTTTTTTTTTTTTAGAAGAGATTGCTCTGTGGTGTTTTTGCTGTTTAAGTCATAAAATCTAGGAAGTCCCTATCAGCAAACAGAATGTGTTGGTGGACCTTGTTTGGTTTAGTGTAATAGCTCTAGTTTGTACTAAATAACGGTTTTTCAACAAACTGGATAAAGAGGAAGGAATAGATCCTAAAAACAGTGCCCAGGTGTTACATACAGATGGTCTTGGATACAATATCTAACCAAGCTTGAAAAGGTCCTCTGTCTTGAGCTGCTACAAGTCACTGTAGGTAATGCAGTGCTAGATGAACTATTGGCTTGACAAAAAGCACAGCTTCCTGTGTCATGTGAAAGGTATTTATTCCTGCAATCTGAAACTACAGGTGTATAAGCCTGTGTTCATGAACTGGTATATAAATCTTAGTGATAAAAGAGCAGATGACTGACTTTTGCCCAGTTCCTGGATGGACCTGTCCTCTTTTCCCTATTTTGCCTTTGATTTATCTGCAGTTTCAGTTTGAAACTCACTATAAGAGATTGTTCATTAGGCTATACGGAAGATATTGTTTAAATATTCTTCGGAGTAGAATATTCAGGAATTGGGGACCGGTGCGTCAGTCCATCCTGCAACTTTTTTTAGGGGGTAAGTGTTGGAATAGTGTCAGAAGAATGGTACCTGCACTTTGCTTTGTGTTTAGGATTCTCGTAATCTACCTTTGTTGTTACTAGTGAACATTTCAGAGATTCAAAACTGCATCTGTGCAATATCCTTGTTTTCTAGAGTTTGTTATTAATCCCAATGGGAAGTCTGAAGTTTGTATTCTTCATGAATATATGCAACGAGTCCTAAAAGTTCGACCTGTTTACAATTTCTTTGAATGTGGTAAGTCTTCCTTCTAATACTTATTTGTAAAGTAATGATTGTATAGAAATGTGTATTTGATCTGAAGATCTAAGCTTGAGCCATGTTTGTTTGTTTGTTTTCTGGACAACTGAGGGTACTATGAAAAACTTCTTGTTCTTCTAAATATATTTGCATTCAAGAATGTTAACAGGATGCACAATGTGGCTGGAATAAAGAAACCATAACATGTTATATGGGTTATAAACAAAATGTATTCATTGTAATGTGCTTACTCTTTTAACTGAACAGCTTTTGTAAATTGTCCATCTAAGACACAGAATGCAAAGGAAAATCAAGTCGGGAAAGAAAAAAAGAAACCTATGTAAATGTTCTGTCCAGCCACGCTTGGGATCATCCTTGCTAATCGGTAGAACTGGGTGCAAATAAACTCTTTACATAACATGGCCCAGAATCTCAAACACGGACCTCTCAGTCTTCTTGATGGGATGAGATGGCACTTGCTTAAAATAGCGTGGCTTTTGACTTTCTCTCCTTTCTCTTTAAAGAGAACCCAAGTGAACCTTTTGGAGCATCAGTTATTATTGATGGAGTGACTTACGGAGCAGGAACCGCCAGCAGCAAGAAACTTGCCAAGAATAAAGCTGGTAATGTAAAGCTGTCGAGGTCTGTGGATGATGATTGGAGCCAAAAAAATTAGCATTCACAGAACGGTGCTTGCCAGTTCTGATTCTACGTAGGAGTTATTCTCTAACCAGTTTGCTCCGCTAGCACACGGAGAAATTAACACACACGATATATGAAATTAACGTCCGTGACTGAAATACAGTATCGCTTTCTTTAAAAGTCTGAGTTGAATTCTGTTTCTGACTTGTTCAGCTCACCTAAAGATTGTGGCTTCAGATGAAAAGACACCAACTACTGTTCCCTGTTTAAAATCCGTGAGATTCAATTGATTCAAGTAATACTGCAGTTTGAAGCAAAATAGTGGTGCTCAGCAATTCAGTAATAAAGGGAACGACTGCTCCGTTCACCGTCATTGATGTAGAATTGTAGAATTGACGGATGTGCGTAGTGAATTTTGCACAGATATATCTGGGACTCATTTCCCAGAGGCTTTCCTGACCAAGTAAACATTCCTGCAACTTCAGAACTTAAAACCTTTTCACCGTCCTAGAAATGATGAAAATATTGTTTTATGCTTGCTTGCATTCTTGACAAAATGTACACTTACAGACACACGGTTTGCACAAGGCACTAATCATTCCAATTGTTACTTTTACAGCCCGAGCTACTCTGGAAATCCTCATCCCTGATTTTGTTAAGCAGACCTCTGAGGAAAAGCCCAAAGACAGTGAGGAGTTAGAGGTACGTTCACAGCTGAGTCCTCATGTATTAAGGTCATTGTCCCTTCTTTACACAGTACGCGTGTAAGGTTGTAGTTTTAATGATGATTCTCTCCTGGCAGGCAGGTTTTCTTTCAGGGTTTATGCAGGTATGTTTTTCAGAAATATTTAAAAATATTAACGCAATTAAACTTTGAGCTTCTTTGTATAGAATAATAACTGCCATTGTACGTGATTTTTTTGCTCTTTGGCTCCTCCTGTCAGTGGAAGGAGTTAAATAGAGTAGGGAACCCTTAGAAATAAAAATAATAACATCTCCATGTCATTTATGAAAAGAATAGTATTGGTACTTCCTTGTATTTTGCAGACCTGAAATGAATTCCCACTGCACTTGACAGTTCTGTGATCACTGAGATTTGATGATAATGTCTTTGGATGATAATGTCTCAGATTAATAAATCATGACAAACTTTATTATGGGTCACTTACCCAGATTTAACAAGCCAAGTTGTAAATTACCTTTGTATCTGTTCAAAAACACCTTTTCCTTCTCCCTTTTCAGAATGTTATGGTTATACTTGGAAATAACGAACATAGTTTTACAGATTAAAACAAAATTTTGTACCCCGTTCAAACAGTGGCTTACTCCAACTCCAATGTCTGAATATAACCCTTGTGAGCTTGTACTGTTCGTTGGTAGTTATATTCCTGGTTCCCAATCCCAGCTCCTAGCAAAAGCGAACTGAAGGCAAACAGCTCTTTTGTTCTGCTGTTTATTTCCTTCTCCCCAGACCTTTCCTTGTTAGTTTACCTTCCCATACTCCAACAGCAGAGCGAACAGAGTCCCTCCAAAGCATATAAAGACCTTTCTATGATTAAATGATCATTTACCAATTTTGTTGTAGTATTTTAACCATATCAGTATTGAGGACTCACGGGTATATGAACTGACCAGTAAAGCTGGACTCCTGTCTCCATATCAGATCCTTCATGAGTGCCTTAAAAGGTGAGGTGGTGTGTTGCTTGCATGATTTATGCTTTGAGGAAGGGCTGATCATTTTTGCACAATCACTTTTCATCTGTTTTTTTTACTCTTTAATCTGGCACTCATACGTTGGAGAGAACTTAGAAATGGTTCCTAAGTTATGATCGCTATTTCAGGAATGGGACAGAAACCTCAATGTGCTAGTTATGGTCTTAACTCTGCCCTGTGAACATTACGATTGTCTGCTGCCTGACCACCATGTTCTGAAATGTGGGGGTTTGAAAGATGTGCTGGAGCTGGTAGGGGAAGACTGGAGGATGGGTATTTCCCATATGATTTGCTCACACATATTCCATTGCCAGTTGAGATTCAGTGTGTGAAGTTGTCAGTTCTTAAGGCTCAAACCCATAATTGTAAGCAACATCTCTATTATGGTTGGTGGCTATGCAGGCCTCAGAACAGGGACAATTTGCTTAGCACGTGCAGTAAAAATCAGTAACGTAATTGTCCTTCAAAAATTATGAAAAATGTTTTAGCTGAACATTTGAGTCCAGGTTTGATGCAAACATTTATGTATAATGTTAACATTTTAACTCAACCCAGACTTTGTAAATGTTCAGAGTTCCTAACAGTATTTAATTTGTCCTTAAGAAATCATGGCATGGGTGATACATCTATAAAGTTTGAAGTGATTCCTGGCAAAAATCAGAAGAGCGAATATGTCATGACTTGTGGGAAACATACTGTACGTGGCTGGTGTAAGTATAACAGCTACTAGGAAGATCTGTGGAAAATCTGTTCATTTGTTAGATTTATATCCTGCCTTTTCTCTGTTCTTGTTGGTACTGATTTTCTTGTTTAACCAGTTAGAACATTCCTATATACTAATCTCTCAGTCACAAGACACTGTCATTTTAGTTATAGTTTTCAATCAAGAACAGAAGTATTTATAACTCAGCACATCTGTATGAAAAATTGAACTGCTGTTTTGTAATATTTTGAATACATGTTTGTAATGAGGAAGAAAATTTTGGCT